TCCATCATATTGAGATGGGGAGAAGAGACTACCCGGCTTTTGGCTGATTTGCCAGGGACAACTCATTTGGGCTCAACAGTAGACTTGAGTCCATCCACACAAGTGCGGGAAGCCAAAAATGACCCACTGGAGCAGTGTGACCCAGCAAAGCTAGCGCCTCCCCAGGAGAGAATGCACAGCAGTGACAGCAGCTCCTGGAGTCTTGGCTTATTGGTTGGCTGAGCCTCTTTGGGGGCTGATGAGGAGCTGGGCCTGCAGGGTGCAGGGAGGCCAGCCTGTGTTTGCACGTTTCCGTTTTCTGCGTGTGAATGTCCTCAAATAACCCACCTTGCCTGCAGAAGAAAGCCAAGTGTCACACCCAGTGCTGGATTCCACATTAACAACCTCCTTCCGCAGTGTTCAACTTTGCCCTTGAGGCCTTTTGTTTAAGCTTTTAATCTGAAAAACAGATTCTGCTGCATCACAGTCCTCTCTGCCCTCTCTGCCCCTGCCACCCTAGCACTCTCTGCTCCTTTTGGGGGGTAAAGTAAAATAGAAAATAGAAAACATGTTTCTCAGACATTTTTCTTTTTCCTCTAGAATGTGCATCCTGCCCTGTTAGTAAAAAGAGGATGTAAAAAGCCTTTTAAAATGTTGTTGCACACATTGGAGCATTTGTTGTTAACTCAGGGGTTGAGGCCATGGTCCTCATCAGCTGTGTCTTCGGCAGCCCCATGACCACATTTTGGAAGATGGCCCGCGTGTTCTGATTGCTCTCTGTGAGGCGTAAGAAATGGAAGAGATTGGCACCGTCAGAGGTACCTTCTGCCATTTGAGGCTTCCTGTTTAGGATGCAGTCGGATAGATATTGTTTATGGTTCATAAAACCCGACTACTGTGAGTATTCCAGAATCCCAGCGGAATGGGATTCGAACTTTCATGGAGCTGTAAATTAACGGGCGGCAAGTGTGATAAAACTCCTCAGAGAACTGTGAGGGGGAAAAAGTCGCGCTGCAATGGTTAAATGAAATTTTATAAGCACATTCAGTGTGGAGCTGTTTTGCATTACATGAGTTGAATACCTTAGAGACGCCACATCTGCAGGCACTTTATTAAATCCTTAGTCAGCACTTTTCCAACCTGATGAGATTACTTCTTCATTTGACTGGAGAAAAGGAAAGCTGAGCTCTTGTCCTGGACTGCAGATTTCTTTTGATGTTTCACCTTGAACACTGAAAGAGGACAGTCACCCCCCTTCCTTCCCCACTCCCGCTCAGCACATCCCAAACTGTAGACATTGTGAATGTTACCAACTAATTTTACGTAACTGGAGCCTTGGTGGGAGTGTGCATTTATGGACCTCCACAACAACTATAGCTGAAAGTTCCTGAGGAAAAAATAGATCAAAGCTCTATGTTTACTTCCTTAATGTAAATGTATCAAGATAACATCATCCTATATCGTATTGTAATAATGCCACTCACTGCACATAAGGGAGGGAGATTCCTTTGTAGTCCATTTGGATACAGTAGAGTAGATTAAGGGGCTATAAAGTACGAAGGCAAAAACCATATGAAACCTAAGCTTATGTCACTAAATGTCTGAGGATGGTCTTTGTTTAATGTGTCAACATTTTCCCAGTGATTAGCTACTCAACCCCAACAATCGAATAATCTCAGATTTCTTTTATGTTTTTCCTATATGACCCAGGAAGAAAATATGCAAAACCATTCCTCAATTAATGTTCTAAAACTTGTACTGCTTGCATAATAGAAATTATAAGAAAATATCACAAGAGAAAAGTAGGCTTTTACAAACATTGTATTGTCCATCTGGTGTTACTAGCAGCTCATAGAAGTTTCTGGAAATTGATTGGCTTACACATGTGTGACTGTCACACTCATCCCAATGGGATTATGAGTATCTTTAACTACAAACTGATTAGGAGAAAATTCAGGGAGATGTATGAATTGTGATTATTATTATTATTAGAACTCTCTATCTGCCATCTCTGCAAATAAGTGATTTAATCAGAGACTTCAAAAAAAAAAAAAAATTTCCCTGTGTGGTTCCCCTAACCAACTTCCTATTCTGGAAAACCTTGGTCAAGTAGCTGGGTTAATTGTCATGAAGATTAGTGTGATGTTGAAATAAGTACTAATGGTCAAATTATAGGAGTGAACAAGTTTAAGAATAGGTTTTGGTTTGGGCCTGAAAGGGTTAATTAAGGTTTTTTCACGGGTTATTAAAGACCCCCAACCTCTGCCTTCAGGAGTCATATTGACACCCCACCACAGGGCAGCTCAGCCCCTCTATTGACATGTTGCTGGTCAGAGCACAATAGCCTTCTGTGTCTGCAAATCATTGCTAAAATCATCTCAAGGAAAAAAAAAGTTTGAAAGCTTTAGCGTTAGACAAAAGCCCAAGAGTTGCAGCGCGCAGCTCAAAAACCCGGAGTCAGCAACTTCTATTGATTAAAAACTAACCTTTAAAGTAACTCTGAGAGTGTGTGGTTAGCATTTAAATTTAAACATGTCATGAGTTGATTTGTGTTACTGAATACCAACTCAGAAGGAGTAACATTCACATCGCATTTTTTTTTTCTAATTCCCTTAAGCAGCTAAAGTATTTCATGAAATGTCAATAGGGCAAAAAGAAAAAGAGGAGGGGGGCTGATGCTGGGCCTTGTAGTTTTCTTTCCCATGCAAATATCCACCCCCCAAAAGAAAAGTGTGGAGAGTGAAACACAATAATTAGTCCTTTGTCTAACTTTCCCAAGTGCCAGAGAAAGACAGATTAATTAAATATACAACAGTGTTGGTTTTTGGAGTGGGGGTCTTGCTTGCTGTGTAGGTCATAAATTAGGCAGAATAAATACTTCAATGTGTTTGCAGTGGGCCTGCTACGTCAGAACCACTGGAAGGTTGGTGGGAGGAGAGCAGAGGGTTTCTTGCTAATGATAGTCACGTCTGGGTCTGTCTGGTTGCTCTTAGCAACCAGACATGATGTAACACCAGGATGAACTTGAACTTGGGGGACTTGAAAAGAGAACAATAGACCAGAGCAATCAATAAAGCCTATTTCAGTGAAGGATTACAGAGCTGCTCTGGGGTAACCTTGTCGGCAAGGCACATACTGAATAGTAAGATGTGTGAAGAAACTTTTTTTTTTTTTTTTTTTTTTTTTTGCTTTGCTTTTTAAGAGAAGTGCAGAGGCACTGCAGATTTTTGTAGTGCCCTGAGGTCTCTTCCACAAACTGTGGTGTGGAAAACTGCTCCCCCTGCTGACTCACTGGGTGCCAGGCCTTTGCTTCAAGAACTACCTTAGTGTCAGATTAAAGAAGTCTGGAATTTCACAACCCGACTTAGAAAGTGTGAAAACAAAAATAGTAAGCATTATTCCCCACACCCAAAGTTTGAGCCCGTTTTGTAGAAGGGAGGAAGCAGCTCTAACGTGGATCAGAGTCAGCTGTTAGGTAGAGGCCTACTAGAAACACACTTTGGGGCTCGCCTTCTCTCTCCTTTCTCTGCCCCTCTTCTTTCTTTTATCCAGTTAGATTTAGGCCGTGTGTATTTGCCAGGCTGATTTCCTTTCAGGACACAAGAGGCTTTATTGTGTTCCTCAAAGCATGTGGTCAAAGAGTAACATCTAAAAGTCTACAGGATGAGTAGTTTTTCGGTTTGGGCTTCAGTTTTTTAAACTTCTCTGGAAATCAAAGGTGGCTTGTGTGACTAGGAAATCTTATACCAAACTCCATGTAGCTATCACTTAGCCATTCATCCCTGGGGACCAAACGAGTCCTTACTTTACCTAATTGAATCTCTTCCACAGGGATGATCCTTCACCTGCCTGAAGCTACCCAATTAGAACCCTTTCTGATACCGTCAACTTAAGAATTCAGAAGCCTTGACTTTTGTTAGGCTTTGGTAATTTTTCTGTAAATAATGATAAATGTAGTGAATTTGTCAGGTATCTCTAGAGAAAAGTCGGCAAAAGCCACATACTTTTTTATTTCACTGGAGAAATTAACTCTGATGTTAGTCCATAATTGCTCATTCTGTCTAGCTAACAGAAAAAGAAATGCCAGCAGATAAAGTGATAGATGATCAGACAATTGCTCAAAGCTAATGACCTAAGAATTTACGAAAGGAAAAGGTAACCAGTAACTGGGCCCAGCAGGTACACAGAAGGCTCTAAATAAATGCTGCATGAATGCAAGCATGAATGAAGTGTATGCAGTGGCCTCATTTTTCCTTTGGTCAGTGTGGTACTTAATAGAGTAAAATCTTGATCCTACTTAGTTATTATGTTTCATGTTTGAAAATACTATTTTAGATATATTGGGCTGAAAGGAGCATCTTCCCTCATAAAATCTGACATATATAAGGAAAGAAAAATACTGCGACTTGCTCAAAATCACCCAGGAAGACTGGGTCCAGCACTTTTTCCACCTTACCTCCACTTACTCTTGTATCACTATTGACCATCTGGGCCTGTTAGGAGAGTGTCACAATCATGTATTTAGTGCCTGCACCTCATTTGAAAGGAGATGTTGAAAATCATCAGAGTAGCCATTCATTGCCACATGAAGCCCCTCCCTTCACCCATTCTCCATTCATTCAACTCTTCTTCATTAAGAACGTTCTGTATTCCAGGCACTGGGCTAGGCACTGAGGATTGAATGATAAACAAGATGGTCAAGTTTCCTGCCCTCCTATAACTGCCCCCATCAGATAACGAAACCCTTATTTGTATTTCAAGTGAACAGAAATACCTCATTTTGTAAGACACGCTCAGAATGTTAGAAAACCCCAACGAAGACAATGAATTATAATTTCAGAAGAGGAAGATCAGTTTCAATGTCACAGGATTTATTATTGTCTGTCATGACTTTACTTTTCCCAGCGAATCCCTCCCACATCCCTAACGTAGATCCTGGTTGCATGGTTGAAAAGGCAACTTCTAAAACATACTTTTTTGCAAATTGTGCTTTTAATTATGTTTTTCCTTTTGTCTTCCAGTCCTGGTACCTGGGATAAAAGTTGCAGCGTCCCACCATCCACCAGACAGACCACCTGACCCCTTCTCAACTCTGTAACATGGACGCAACCTCAACCCAGCGCAGTTACAACTTCACTGTCAGTGGAAGGGGAGAAAAACCGATTCAAATCAACTTGTACATGGAAACAGCAAGCATTATGGTCAAACAGCAAAGGCCATAACCTTTTGGGATTTTTTTTTTTAAATACTTTAGGGACTGTTGTAATTTCTCATATGGTGCTGGAAATGGTTGGGCTTTGTAACATTTGAAGTGTTTCCATGGTAGCGTGAGCATTAGGTGACGTGGCTAGCAGAGGACTACCCTTGCTCACTGACTTCCTGTTGTAACACACTTTCCTTACGGAGCCCGGCTGTTTCACAGTATTTCATGAATTTACCCACACAGGTGTGATCCTCCTTGAGCATTGAGGAGGCACATGGAGAACTAAATCTTTTGTAGTAGCTGAGATCTGCAATATATAACTTACAGGACAGTCAAAGGGCAATGTTTTTCTGTAACATATTGGAAAAAGAAAATGCAGTTGTATTCCTTTTTTATTTGTTCTTTTAGTTTGTTTTGGTTCAGCAGTCAGCAGTTAAGTATATAACATGGCCCGCAAGGACAATGAATCCACTCACATTGCAGAACAATTCCGAAAATGGCAAACTACTACTACTACTGTTCAGTTTTTTAAAAGTTTTGAAATGCTGCACTTACATTAAAAAAAAAACAACAACAACATTTTTTCAACAATTTCAACAATGACACAAAAATTCACATGGAAATGGGGAAGATGGTCTGTTTTGACAGAAACTGACAGGAATCAATCAAAACAATCGAATTTTGAATTGAGTAAAGTGCAATTTCATTGGATAGCTAAATATCTTTGTAAGATAGAGATTGTTGAAAATTCTATTTTTGTTTTTCAAGTCCTTTCACCCCAGGACTCTAAATTATTGGGGTAAAAAACAGCCTTGCAAGAAAAAGGGGAGCTATTTTTGCTTTTTATGTTTTTTATTGTTAAACTTGTATCCCTTTAAAAACTGAAGGAAATTTAAAAAAAAAAAACAAAAAAACAAATCTAATGGTGCTTTTACCACAATATGTTAACTACATTAAATGCTAATTAATTATTTTCTGTTATCAAAGCACATGACTAAAATGAAATCATGGTATCTGTTAATTTTATAAGCTAGAAGTCACTATAATGGATTATGCCAATTCTAAAAAATTTTACACGTATCTGGCATCATAGGATTTATCAGTTATCAGACACCTCATTGTACCAGAGATTGTCCAGAAGTTTTAAAGACCTTTGCGTCCCTGAACTGGGCTATGGGAAATAATAATAGTAACAATAATAATAATAATGAAACCAATACTGACACAAATGCTGGTGCCCATTCAGATCAAGGGGTACTTGTTAGGGAAAAAAAGAGTTTGCACCCCCAAATGTCCTGTATCTTATGAAAAAAAAAAACAAAAACAAAAACAAAAAAAAACAAAAAACAAAAAAACCACAGAAACATAAAAAAAAGTGCAAGTGATTTTTCTACCAGACAGCGAAGCACCCCTTTGCTTCCCATGCGACTTCAAGAAGGTTTCCTATACTATACATATATATACGTTCTGGTTGGCAAGCCCTGCTGATCAGAGAAAGTCTCTGCATGTTCTAGTGTTAGTAACTAATTTTTATATAGTTAATGTAGGATAAAGTAGAGTGCATTAAGACACAATATTGTAATCCCTACTCTAGGCACTTGCCTTTAAACTATGTTTTTCAGCCCTTCAGAAGGGTTCTACTACTGTCCTATACAATCAAGTAACTGAAATTCTTGGGAAGACACTTTGCTCCTCATCTTTCCCCCCGAAACAATGTTGTTTTGTTTTGTTTTTTTTCCTTAATTTGCACGAAAACAAAAATTCCATATCAATGTGCCTTGCCCTGGATAGCGATTATTTGTGGAATTGTTGCACATGCTCCTCTATTGAAAGGGGTTTTTCCCTAGTCAAGCATTTGGAGACACTTTTTGTAAATGTGACTTTTATGTCAGCCATCGTCAGTTTCAACATCTAGAACTAAATAGAAAGCTAGTTGTTCCGCAGATAGGAGTAGTCTTTATTGTCCTGTACGGTCGGTGGCAGTGCTATTCTGAGATCTGTAGATGCTTAGAATATCAGTATTTTGGATGTTGCTGCATTTTACAATTTATTTGGAGTCTTCCTTTATTTTCCCCCAGATATATGAAAATATGCAATACCTGCTTATATCATGTAGAAAAGCTTAGCAATTATTAATTTTTCTTTTCTTTTTTTTTATTTGACCAAAGTCGGTGCTGCACTTGGCGCAGTGTGTTTTAGGTGTTTGTCTTTGTACTTTTTTGTGATTTTTGAATGCACGTGCGCAGGAAGGGCTCCTCTTAGAGAAGCAGTCAAACTGTGAAGCACTAAGCTGACCCTGCTTCAAGCAATTTTGTTTTTACAACTGTTCCTTTCACAAGCAAGCCTTAAAAAAAAAAAAAAAAGACAACTTCCTTTTTCTTCAGCTCCCACACCCCATTTTTCTTAGCAGACTGCAGTCAATCCACATTCAATAAAAAGTATATAATGCCCATTTTTATATGCACGTTTTTAAACTTCCAAGTTCTGAAAATTGTTTACTGGTTATCTCTATTTAAGGAAAAAAAAATAAAATAAAACATTTTGGATTTTCATATGTGTCTGATAAGTGGTTGAATAGTCGTTTGGCGCTGTTGTATGGTGTGATTGTCAGTGTATGGTGTCACTTCCTATAGCCAGCCAGCATACTTTGCCTTCCCCTATAGCACTTAGCTGGGCATTACTTTATTATGACATATGTGCACTAAAAAAAAAAAAAAGGAAAAAAAGAAAAAAAAAAAGAAAAAATAGCAGCTTTCAGTGCTTCACAGTGAAGGGAAAAAAGCCTAGACAAACATTTTGTCAGAACCTTGCAATAAGCCAAGGTATTACCAGTAAATTGGTTGTATATACAATAAAATTGCACCCTTTTTTAAACAAAACAAACTAAGCAATAGTTTGGGCAGTTTTAGTTGTTTTTAGTGAGCATGTTGTAGTCATGACTGCAAAGAGAGAGAATAAACTGCCCACTCAGAAGATATGTAATTTGTATTGTTGTATAGTTTTATTGATTACACTGATTTATTCTACCCTATTTTATAATGCAGGACTTTTGTAATGTTGTTTAAATGAGGAAAAATTTCTGTCAAATTAGCCTAGTGAAATTTCTGATTGTTCATTATAAAGGCAGCGTTCATAGAATTGCTTTTCTTTCTTTTTACCCCCCCTTTGGGAACTGGATTTAAGTTTAAAACTTTCCTGTTTCCTTTTTTTTTTTTTTTGTAAGTATTTAAATACAGTTATTTTTTTCTCTCAATGGTATAGCATATTCCTATGCTTGAGAAGTGTAGGTCTACTGAAAAACCATTGTAAATGGACGTTACAGGTATGCTGTATTTTTGAAGGTATTTCGTTGTATTAAGTTTGATGAAGCTAAAATTAGGGAACTCTGAACAGATTTGCAGGAAAAAAAATGTTTTAAAGGCTTTAAAACATTAGGGAGGCAGTCTAGGGTGATAACGAACAGGGGTTAAGTATTAAATACACTAAGTTACATTTTTGTTCATGTTTCATTGTCCAGAAAGCAGCAGGAAACTAGTTCAGTTGTGATCAAGCAGGAAAAAAGAAACACCAACAGTTTCCAGTGTTTTTGCTTTTTAGCTTAAAAGCATAGTGAAGATGCTTGAGGAAGACTTTGCTACCTGGGGTGTGTAGACAGACAGACTGAGAGCTATCAGCATTTGAAGGCCCAGCCCTTGACTCTGAGACACATTTGAATTTTTTCTCTCCCATCAAATGGCATTAACAACATTGGGCAAAGATGAGTCCCTCAAATTTCTGTGTGTGTGTTTTTTTGGGGTTTTTTTTTTTTTTTTTCCCTTTGGGAACTGAAGTCAGAGGCACGAGCAGTAAATCTTAGCATTTTTCTGTAGACCTTTTCTTGTGGCCCTTGTCCCTGCCGGCAAAACACGCCTTTTCTGATCATTCGCGGGCAGAGGCCCTCCCAGTAATGCCACTCTCTCCATCCTAGAGAGCCTTCTCTTTCCTCTGAGGTTTGAACCGATGTTCTGCTGCTTCACACTCTGGCATGACAGGTATGGTCAGCCTGCTCCCCAGGCCCGTCCCTGCCGCCAGGTGTGGGCTCTAGGCAGGCTGACAAGGTTGCACCTCCCAAAGCTTGTGATCTTCATTTTCTCACAGTCGAAGTGTGAAGGAACCCAGACTTCCCCGAGCCACGGTGTTCAGTCAGCCCACAGGAATATGCAGGACCCATCTCCAAAAGGTTGTCTTTCATTTTTGTCCAAACCCTTAGCCCCATAAGCTTTGAATCTTGTAGTTACAGTGGCATAAAGGATTGACAAAACCTGGATTAAGGAAAACTTTTTTGTGCGTGATTTTTTTTTTTTTTTTTTTTTTTTAGGGGAAAGGGATTCTAAGAATGTCATTTAATGTACTTTGCCTCATGTCTCTGGAAATATCTTTGTCCATAGTGGTGGTGGTCTCTCTCTCTCTCTCCCTCTCTCTCTCTCTCTTTCTTTCTTTCTTTGCTTCTGTTTTCTTTCTTGTCTTCATTCTTTCTTTTCTTTTTATTTTTGGTAGCAGGCCTCCATAGAACAAATCTAAAACACAACCACCATAGTAATGTAAGGAGAGCTTCAGTGGCACCTCACAACCCACCTCCGAGATCTGTCCAAAGACAGTCTCAGAAAGCTGCACTGCCCACCGGCTCGGCTTTCATTCAAATAGGCTTCCAAGGCCAATTCTGTCTTGAAGTCAATGCATGTATTTACTGTTTGACAGTAAACCCGCTCTGCCTTCTCCACGTCCAAGGCTGTGCATTCGTCTAATTAGCGTCGTGTATGTTTTCCTTTTATTTTTTCCAATAAAAAAGCAGTGGGATGAAAATTGCTTTGATATATAGCAGGTAACATTGAAGCTATTCCATAGCACTTAACTGTAGTGAATACTGTGTCACCAATTTTGAAATCAATTTAATGTTTAATGCAAATCCATTACATGGTGCTATTATAGGCTGACAAAATGATTTACACAAATGTGACAACTTGGGCTCAATTCACTCTGCTTTCCAACAGTGTAAATGCATAGCAGTGTTTATCTGCATGAGAACTATGCACTAATCTATCTGAAGAAAAAAACTATATCAACTTTGGTATCTACTTTCCGTTTACTCCAATCCTTGCCTTTTTGGTCATTGTTATAATGCCAGCTTTAGGACAGAAAGAATTATAAGAAAACCAGCATAATACCTGATATATTAAAATGTAGTGCCTGTGAAATCTGTATTATATTGCTCTTCTGAAGTAAGATTTTTCTACACCGGTAGCCTTCGCTGTCTGTCAGTCAGGACCTTCTGGTATAGGTGATGTAAAATAACCGTACAATATTAATGCATGCTATTCCATAATGCTTAGTGAACTGTATGAATATTACTCAAAGTTATGTTAGTCTTTTTTTCTGACTTGGTTCTTGTCAGCTAGATTTAAAGGTATTTCACTGAGAACGCAAATTCTGTCTTTTCTTGATTTCGGCTGTTTTCAGTATTTTGGAGGTATACATTTACTTAAATTCAGTATTACTTGTGTTTTGTTTTTGTTTTTGTTTTTTGTTTCCTTTTTCCTAGGGGACAAGCATGGGTGTTTGATTTCAGAAATCAGTACCTGGCGAGGTTTTTGTCTCAAAACGACTATTTGAATTTCAAGAACTGTGCCGTGAAGACACTCTGAGAACATTTGCAAGTCAGGGGCATTTTCCTTGACCCTCAACTGACGCTGTGCTGAGACTGATACATTTTCTTAATGGACAATGTTCAGCCAGGTACCCATGCTTGATCCGTCTTCACACCAGACCTCCTCATATTAAAAGGAAAAATAAGAAAAAAAAATTAAGAAATCACATGGCTATTTAGTTTCATGCACAGTTGCAATATCTTCTTCAAAAATAAAACTCTGTACAAACTTTGGGCCCGATTCATAAGAAAAAGAAGTTTGCTATTAACACGGGATTTTTTTTAATATACTTTTTTTGGTCTAAATTTGAAATGACTTGCTTTCCAAATTAAATAAATTTCATCTCATTTTTTTTTTTCCCTAAACCAGCACCCATCTGCCTTTTATTCCCCAAAGAGTTACCTTACCCAGATTAGGGGGATGGCATGTGGGGAGCAGATAGTGGAAATGCTTAGAAAGATAAGGGGGACCACCCACAGCTGGGCGTGAGAACAGGGAGGCAGTGTGTCGGGGTGGGACCTCATCTGCGTGCCTAGCATCCTGAGTTTTACATGTAGACGCATTAGCCTATTTGATTCAGAAAAACAGACTTTCCCAAAATGTGTCTGAACCACAAGAGTATACAGTGGAAGTGCTACCTCTAATCTAACCAGAGC